ACAGCATGTGGCTTATGTAGACATACGATTATATGTTTCTTTGAGAGACGGCGGCGTTTGGCCTGACTGTGAGCAACGTGGGCACATCCCGATCCACCGCAGTGGGTACAACACCCAGTGTAAACAAGTGCGACTTGCAGGGTCCCAGTGTGGAAGAAAGAAGCCTATGCTGAAATTTTCCCGTGTACTCGTCAGTTTATCGAGACAGACTCGATATTTGATTGAGTCACCATATTTGATGGTAGAAAAGGAATAGGCATCCGAATGCTTTTAGCCGATTGATAAACTGACAAAGACGATATTTCCCATGTTTAATGATGATTAAAACAGTGATGAAAGCAAGACTGACGACTTCAAAAACACACGTCATCGGGACAACCATATTCGGTTGGTGAATCTGCGGAAACTACCAAACTGCCACAAGTACCGCTTGGACGATTCCTGGCTTGAGACCGTTAATTGACAGAACCGTACGCAACCGGTTCTGTCAATTACCCCAAATTCAGTTCAACGTCGCCGTCAGGTTCACCTGCCTTGGTGTAGACAGCATCTGATGTACATGTGACAAAACTGCTTGTTTCTGTATACAACCGTGAAGATCCGGGTTAGAATTGGTCTTCAGTAACCCATGTTTGTCGTAAAAGGCGACTAAAGGGATCGGGTGGTCAGGCTTGCTGACTTGGTTGACACATGTCATCGTATACCATTTGCGTAGATCGATGCTTATACTGTTGATCACTGGATTGTCTGGTCCAGACATTATTATTTAAAGACCGCCGCCATATAGCTGGAATATTGCTGAGTGCGGCATAAAACTAAACTCACTCTGTTTCAGCATACATTTCAGGTTAGTCCGTGTTTAGTTTGGACAGCTCAGCTGGTCGTGCAAGGGTCTAGAAGTGTCCAGGAGACTGACTGACTGAGTTTGGTTTTACGCCGCTTTTAACAATATTCCAGCAATATTACGGCGGGGGACACCGGAAATGGGCTTCACTCATTGTACCCATGTGGGGATTCGAACCCGGGTCTTCAGCGTGACGAGCCCACGCTTTAACCACTAGACTACCCCACCGCCCCGTGTCCCTGGAGAACGCTCATGCATGGATGTTGTAGGAAAATGCAACTTATTGGTGTTATTAGAATGGGGTAGGCTACTGGGAGACCTCGTCAGAGATCATGGTATCTCCTTCATGCAGATGCACACCCTCTTCCCAGGAAAAAGTGATGACTTTCCCAAGAATCAATTATTATTTGGGGCAGCCAAAAATGCTTTAATGACGTTATCCGTTTATTTAAATGCATCTATATATGGACGCTTTGCAATTTTGTTTACTAGTTGACAAGAATGCATCCACCAAATTATTGAAGTTCACACCCTGTTCCCAGTAAAAAGTGATGACTTTCCCAAGAATCAATTATTATTTGGGGCAGCCAAAAATGCTTTAATGACGTTATCCGTTTATTTAAATGCATCTATATATGGACGCTTTGCAATTTTGTTTACTAGTTGACAAGAATGCATCCACCAAATTATTGAAGTTCACACCCTGTTCCCAGTAAAAAGTGATGACTTCCCCAAGAATCAATTTATATTTGGGTCAACCAAAAACGTTTATAGGCCGTATTACCCGTATATTGAATACATCTGTATCTGGACGCTTTGCAAGTTTGTTTATTAGCTGACAAGCATGCGCCTACCAAATTATTGAGGTCCACATCCTGTTCCCACCAAAAAGTGATGGCTTTCAAAAAGAGGAATCATTATTTGGGTCAGCAATAAAATGGTTCAGTGACCTTATCTGTTTATTTAAACGTATCTACATAAAAATACAAAGTATACGTCGTTATATCAAATGCACAACCGAATGACCTTCCATCCTTTTTCTTTAATCAATGAATGCATTTCATACATGAACGGTGTCGAATTTGGCTGTCCCTGTGGTTCTGCCTGTTACATTTACACTGTCATTTTGTTGTCGTTGGGACAAACATTTAGGGTTAGAATTTGTCGTACGAGGCGACTTCATGGGTCAGGTAGTCACGCTCATGACCTTGGTCCCGATCCACAAAGCGTTCGTATCGTTACGACCTGTCGTAACTCTGTAATTTACCATAGGCTTACGAACGTCCGAGCGCTAGGGATTCTTCGTGGATGCGACCCTGGTTGGTTGACACCGCACCTTGGCGGCGATGATCGCTCTTTAAGAAAAACTTTGGCAGAATATGTCACTGGCATCCAAAAATCGTACCTCATTTTTGGTCAACTGGATAGAGTTTCTACCTCGAGAGAGGAAAGTCTGAAGTTCGATCCCCGGGCACTTCAAACCAAAACACGTTAAAGACGTCACTTGTTGACTTGCCTGGGACCAGATCCACAAAACGTTCGTAGCGCTGTCATTCGTAAGCCTATGATAAAGTTACGATAGGTCGTAACGTTAACGCTTTCTGGATTGGTCTTCAATATTAGGTGACAAAACATGGACTGTTTCTCTGGGAGCGATGAAAACTCGGGGTCTGCCATTTAAACACATGACATTAAATCCGGACAAGTAGGTTATAGTCAGACCAGACACACAAACATGTAAAATTGCCACGTAACGTCACAACTGTTGAAAGCAACGTTATACCCAAATTCACGTTAAGTAAAGTCACACTTGACAAGCCCAAAAAGTGGGGACTAGGTGGTCATGAGGCCATTCGTTGTTTACTAATCAATATTCCGGAAGCAAAACATAACCGATTTAGCCAAAACCAGTGGTTGATAACATGAGTGAGTGAGTATGATTTTACGCCGCTTTTAGCAATATTCCAGCAATATCACGGCGGGGAACGCCAGAATGGGCTTCACATATTGTACCCATGTGGGGAATCAAACCCGGGTCCTCAGCGTGACGAGAGGACGCTTTAACCACTAGGCTACCAAATCGCCCCACTTTAGAAGTACAGGGTGATTTTGATCCGTCCAAATCACTCACCAGAGACCGTTTAACCTGTTGTGATTGGAGGTATAATGCTTTAAAGGATCTTGGCAAAACAGCGTTGTGTAGCTTGCCAGGGAACACCGTGACTGTGCTGAATCCTGTGGTCACGGAGGGTGGGTGTGTAACGGGTACGGGGGTACATAAGCGTGTGGGTAATTGTCCTCTGTCTTATGCATACTTCAGAATTTGTATCCGAATCCCGCCCAGGACTCCTAACATCGAACCTTTTGCCTGACATGTCCCGGATATTCTCATCACCATGTTTCTGGGATGAGAGGATTCTGAACATAGAGTTTGAGGTTCCTCTTTCCTAAGTATTCTATTCAAGAAAAGTTAAAGACCATACGATTTTTTCATGTTACTATTGCTAATTAATAGCCATGACTCGCGTGGTCCCTAATTTCTTTCCATAGTTTTTGTATTGTCCAATGTCTGAGCATACGATGACACACGTGATGACAAGTTACAGTCTGGACACCCTGCCTCCGACTTAAAATTTATCGAGCACGGGTGAGTCAGTTGAGTTTTACGTGGCACTCAGCAATATTCCAGCTATATGGCGGCGGTCTGTAAATAATCGAGTCTGGGCCAGACAAACCAGTGTTCAACAGCATGAGCATCGATCTGCACAACTGGGAACCGATGACATGTGTCAACCAAGTCAGCGAGCCTGACCACCCGATCCCTTTAGTCGCCTCGTACCACGAGCATGGATTACTGAGAAACAATTCTAACCCGGATCTTCACGGGTATTATGGAGCACGGAGTGGTGAGAACGGAGCACATATCGGGTGCAACACACCCCTTGCAGTATGTGTGACAACTGGGAATCTAATGCACATTTGTGTAAAAGCAAATAAGTAAATCTCCCCCGATTGTACCAGGCACTATCCGGTTACTCCTGGAAGTAATCGACACATCATTTGGTGATGCGATGAAGCAATATGACAAGCTTCACGCTCCCCTCATAAATTGTCACATTACCAAGCGCGCAAGTATTAGCTTAAAATGTGTACCCTTGAGAGAACTCGAACCTGACACTAAAACGAGACACTGTCTTACAACCACCCTGTCCGTGCTCCTATTGTCTCTTTTGGGGCAGTGGGTAGCCAAGTGGTTAAAGCGTTCGCTTGTCACGCCGAAGACCCGGGTTCGATGTCATATGGGTAAAATGTGTGAAGCCCATTTCTCGTGTCCTCCCAGTTATATTGCTGGAATATAGCCCTTAATCTCTTAAGTGATGTGGTTTTGAGGCTATTTACAGATCATACATTTAATTAACTTTGGATCTGGATATTAAAAGTTTTGGCTTTGTAGTTTATCGCTGCACTCAGCAATATTCCAGTTATATGACATCGGTCTGTAAGTGATGGAGTCTGGACCAGACAATCCAGTGATCAAAATCATGAGCAGCTATGAAATATTCGTTTCCTTATGGAGTGGATTGGTTGGTTTGTTAAGGTCGAACTCAGCAATATTCCAGCTATATGACTTTGGATCTGGATATTAAAAGTTTTGGCTTTGTAGTTTATCGCTGCACTCAGCAATATTCCAGTTATATGACATCGGTCTGTAAGTGATGGAGTCTGGACCAGACAATCCAGTGATCAAAATCATGAGCAGCTATGAAATATTCGTTTCCTTATGGAGTGGATTGGTTGGTTTGTTAAGGTCGAACTCAGCAATATTCAAGCTATATGACATCGGTCTGTAAGTAATCGAGTCTGGACCAGACAATCCAGTGAGCATCTATGAAATATTTGTTTTCCTTAAGGAGTGGATTGGTTGGTTTGTTAAGACCGCACCCAGCAATATTCCAGCTATATGGTATCGGTCTGTAAGTGATGGAGTCTGGACCAGACAATCCAGTGATCAACATCATGAGCATCTGAAATATTTGTTTTCCTTTTGGAGTGGATCGGTTGGTTTGTTGCCAAAACGCCACCAAATAAGTCTGTAAATGGAGTGGATGAGGATCAAGATCAACTCTTTGATAAGAAATACAACAGTGGCGTGAATAAGATCAATGGTATATTTTATTCACCAACAGCTCCTTTATGTACACACAATACAATTGACAGGACAAGTTTATGCAGTTCTTCACTCGTAACAAAAAAGGGAGGACTGTGGTCCAACTTGAAACATTCTTCCATACAACCAGAAACAATTGTTTAACCATTTTCTTAACACCATCCTTGCATTCCATTCAACAAGCTGAGGTAACACACCTCGTCGGTCAACTTCGGTAAAACTCGGCATGCGCGAGAGAACCATACACACCATTCGAGACTTCACTGTGTGAATATTAACAGCTGTGAGACAGCAGAATCGGCGAAGTTCCTTATGTACATCGATAATTGTCAAGGAGACGAACAATCATTAACAAGTCAAACTATTGACCCTAGAAAGCACTATGCACAGACTTATTACAAAGCAAAAAACCAATTTAACAAGTTCATGTGTTTTAATTTGGAAATAAATCACAAAAATCGTGTTCCTGGTGCTAAACCCTCAACTATAAAATCTATATTTTACATTATCACAATAATCAGCCAAGGGTAGACCACTCAGGAACAGGACCTCGTTCATTTAGAGTTATCTCCCTTTACGGGAAAACGATCTCAAAACCATTAAAAATAAATCATTTTTAATGTATTATTACTATTGGTTGTGCATGTCTTTTCCCATGGGGCATAGTCGCGGCCAATTATTCGATTGCATATGCACACCTAGCTTACCAGGATTATATTCACAATTATTTATAAATGGGTTGGCAAAACGCTAGTAAAACTTATCACAGTGTTTTATGTCTTGAAAGACCCTTTCTATGGGACGCATCACAATACTGTTGTACACTTGTTTGTTTTAGTCCTTAACAAAAAACAATGATCATTTATGAACCCTAAAAGAATTTTCAAGAAAGAAATTCTACGATGAACTTGGCAGTGACAATAGTTTGGGAGCTTGTAAAACATCATTAAGTATGTTGGCATGATCGTGTACAGTATTGTTAACGCCCAATCAAATTGCAGATTCCCAATGTGCCCGTATCAGGACATGCGCAGACACATTACACGGTCGCTATTTCATAGAAATCACTTAAAATCGATCGATCGACCTACACAAACGATCAGTTAATAACTCATTAACAATAACTTTCGCGTTAATGATATTCAGTTTAAAATAACATTTCATTCGTTGGTAGACCCAAAGCTGGAAAATATGCGAACTACTGAAGGAAAAATCACGACTGAAATTTCAATCGACACCATAAGTATTTTACGGCATTTCCTTCTTTTAAAATTCACGAGACATCGGTGTTTAAATTGTATAAGCTAACAGGATTACAGAGGGTGAGGTAGAATTAGAGTTAAGTTAATTTAATGAGGGGAGGTACCCAAATCTAACCGAAGAGGTAGGGTAAGAATTTTTTATATTAAATTATAGATTTTGCATGTATCCGGCATTCTGACCTATATTGCATTGATGGCTGCCCTTGACGGTGTCAATCCATTTGTCTCTCACAATATTGCTCAATATTTCGTGTTAGTTAATCGATATTTCCATAATCGTATCACAATATTAGCAAATCAAACCATAGTGATCGAATATAACACACTTAAGTCCTCGAACATTCGGAGAAGTCAAAATCAGTAATATATAAATATTAAATTATGTACTTTGCTCGATATCGAGGCAATGGTTGTGCTTGGTCAAGGTACAAATGACGATGAATAGGATGAAACGGCAGCGGGTATAAATGACTGGTATAAATAAACAGTTCGGGTGCGACTTGACGTCACTTGTCACGTGTTGCCAAATCACATGATCATGTGTCTTCTGGCAATGTCATAAATAAGGCGACGGCGTCACGTGATAGTGTCACATGACATGAGAAGTCGCTGGCAGTGTCCGTATTTATGGCAGGCTTAGGCGAGAATTGGTAGCAATGACGTCACGAAGTCGCGTATCACATCACTTGCGACGTCTTGGGCGACGTGGCAGGTCGTCACCAGGTTCCCGGGAGGTTCCTGTTTGGGGAGCACTGGCTTATTGCGGTGGGGGTTGCAGTCCTGAACCGCTTGGAGGGGGGTCGGGGATTCACCCTGGCATCCGACTCCGTGTTTGTTCAGCAACAAACGCCGGGTTGGTCGTATAAATTTATGTCTCTAACGTCGGTGGGTGTCGTTGGCTGACCATTTAAAGGGTCTGATTTTGTAGGAGTTTCGGGGGCTTCTTGCACCGTTGACAAATTATTTGCAAAACACTGTTCAATTTGTTCTTGACAATACCGTAAGCAATCCTGAAAGCAAAAGAAAAATCATAAGATTTATGAACGTCTTAATATTAAAATTACATTATTTAAAACGTCAGTGACGTTAACGCAAGATCACGTATTCAATCAATCAAGGACAGCAACTTAGCGTTATCATTGAACTAACTTCCTTTGATAATGCCTCATTGGTCAGTGTCACGTCTCATCACAAGGCCACTGACCAGCAATTAACACCGTAGAACATAAAGGCACCTTTGTTCCTTGGTCATACGCCCTGGGGTCGTTCCCGCAACTCCCACGGGGGTAGATAAAATCACTTTCAATGGCCACGGTTTGAGACCCAATTTACAACAAAGAAACTCATTACTTGTAAGCAACAGGCTTTACCTAATACCCAACAGGTCCTGTGTAAGAGATTAACAGACGGAAATTGTTACTCACCACTTCGATGCCTGTTATTTGGACGAGTCTTTCTAAGAATTTCAAATCTTGTGGTTCCGATGCGCTGAACAGACCATGGACTGCAGCTCCAACGCTACCGGCGGCGATCATTGACGGGGGATACATCATGAATTTGCAATCTGTAAAAAAGAAATTAATTAATTAAAAAATCCGATATTTTAACATCACGATTATGGCATATCTTCATGACCTATTTGAGAAAGCAATCAACTTGCAAGTCATCATTCGAGATAAAACATTACATCGATCTAGATATTACATACTGCAATTTCAAGTTCACCGTTTTTGATGAATATATACATCTTTGTTTAGCTTGGGATGTATGAAATATAGCATAATTTTCGATTAAGAGTCAACGGTAACATTGTATCCAATATTCACCGATATTTATGACCTTCATTTCACTTCGTGTTACACAAATTGTTACAAATAGTAGTTACACTGTTACATGTTACGCCCCTGGCGAAATGAGCCGAAACAGTTCCAAAAATGACGTCATGTCCATTGTTCGTCATGACACATACGATCAGACACGTATATGTACATTTCCTAACAGATGGCTGAGAAACGCATATCGAACACCTACACACTTTCATGCGTTCGAGGCTATTTACTAGGAAACATTCCTGGCACAAGTTTTAACACCCTTGACGGGCGGAATGCAACCACGGCTCTTGACACGTCAGAGAGGACAACTCAAGTTGTTCGTGTACTTGCAAGTATATATCACTGGGACTCGACTTTTAATTAGAAGGAAACAATTGTCAAATTAATGTTCAGTTCCCGTGGCTTGCGACACAGAGCAGTCGTTAGGTCTCGGTGTCGCGAGGAAGTGGTTGAAACACGACCCGCCAAGCTTTTTATGACCAATGTATCCTGCTTTATTTGGACATCTCATCAATCTTGAAAATAACCCTCACAAATAGACCACATTTAAATTTTACGAATTTGGTACATATTATTCTTTAAGTATACAAAGCACGGTATCAATAAACTGTGTTTCGCATTTCGTTGCTTAGGTGGTCTTGTCTATTTCTACGCGTGTCCATGAATGTTGAAACCAGTTTGGCAAAATAACCGATCTAAATAGTTCATTCCAATCAATAACGCTGTTATTGTTAGTTACAGAATGAATCAATTATCAGGAAATCTATTTCAGTGCAAGTATGTGGCTGTCAGGTAAAAATCTGGTGCAGCCAGACACGTATTAGCGAGGGCGTCAGAACTGGACCAAGGGAAACAACTCGTGTTGGCTTAAGGTCCGCGCCGACCACCTTCAGTGGAATGTCGAGCATTTAGCCGACAGGTCATGCATCAGTCATCAAGGTCGCCACCTTGATACCGGCGAGGGACATACAAGTAGGGCCTTTGTTTGACAAGATTTAACTTCTGGACAGAGATACAAGGATTTGTTCCATTTTCTGAGGGTCGATATTAAACAACACTGTCATAATGAACTTTTGCTCTGATCTATACAGTACACGCGGAAGACAACTACAAATGTATTCAACTGTTTCCACTTGACTAAATGTACACAAGCTACGTAGATCATCCACTCCCTGTATTTTTTTCGGTTCAACTTGAAACGACGTTGACGGTATCTAGTTGCGTCAATCTAAGGAGTTCCCTTACACATGCAAGGAGGTTAATCGACCCATTTTGCAGACTGCACGGTGGGAAAATTGTTCACTCGACCAATCATTTCGCAGATCGCTTTTCACGGATACGTTGTGACATTTTTTTTCAACCGGCAAGATATGTTCAATTTCATTCAGAATTTTCCCACTACACATCACATGCGAAAATACACACATGAAGATTTACAGAAATATACTTTAGACAGAAATAAATTTTACCTGTAGCACATAATGCGATGAAGGCTTGCGCGTGTCTTTTGATGATTCCTGACTTTTCCTTGTCTGGGATTAGCCTTGAGAGAAGTTGATCCAAGAAATCGTGTGGTGTTACTGCTGACAAATCCCACTTCAGGTGATACAGAACTTGCAATTCCATATCCTGAAATCAAGATTATACGCATGAACAACACTTCAAATAAGGTTCAATATCGACATGTTCAATTTGTAGCGTGCATATTATTTTACAAGCCGCATTCCATTTCATAGAGATAATCCCACTTGCCGAGCGAGTCAAAGTTTTCTTACGCAATTCAACGTTTTCCCACCCGAACCAGCCCACAACAGAACAAGCAAATCCATTTTCCTAAATCGCTTTCACCAACACCGCAGAACGCAACCGCTGGACAACATATCGCATCAACGACTGTGCCCGACCACACCCACTTTCAAAATGACCGACAGTCCGAATATCAGCTGTTGGCATGATTTAGCCCGGAGGCGGATAGTTTCACACGCCGAGTCATCAAACAAGAGCAATGTACATATCATTAAAACAACAAGCGAGACTGGCCAAGCTGTCTTGTCCGACAGCCGCTATCAAAACACACCAAGCAGTGAAACGAAAGTTAAAATGTATGTACCATTAATGATTGCAGACCAATCGAATTGTCCGTGTATATGACCAATTTCTCAGCAGTCAAGGGGTACGTTTCCTTCAGCTTCGAAGCAAGAAACATACACGCACTTCCTAATAACTGTAGGCTAGTCCTGTGGGTATCCTTCACGCACAAATATCGGTCCAAGTAATTCATTGCTAATGGAAACACTTCCTCTTCGCACTGTTGTTCCTCGCAAACCTGAAATCAAGAAAACGAACATTTTAACCTAAAACTCAACATATCCCAACAATACTTGAAATGATATCATCAATGGAGCTGAATAATAAGGCTTACGAAAGCATGTATCGCATGCAGCGTCTCATATTAATGAGTGTCCGCATTACTGAGGGTCCGTAATTCGAGGTAAGCAAACTATATTTCCTGAGTGAAAGTCGTCACCAATCCTTTGCGTCAAATCGGTTGAGAACTGATTTGTACTTAGCATTCAAGAAATATATAAAAGATCAGTGAAATTAGTGACAATTAAGTCCTCATTTCAATGCAAATTTCTCAATACGACACAAAGCATGACAAAAAAGTCAGTTAAAACTCTAAACTGAGTCATGTGCATGCCTATATCTGCCAACCGACAAAAGCCCGCCAGTTCAGCAGCTGCGCCAGGCTGAGGCTGCTCAAGTCGCATTCATCCAAAAATATCAATAAAATTTGTAAAAATTCCAAAGTCATACGAAATTAATTTTTTCTTCGATAAAAAATTACTGTGGGGTCGATATTCCCACTGGAAAGCTTTGTAAGTCCCAAAGTTCTAAAAGTTTCATGCAAATGCCAATTCGGTTTTGCTTATGACATTTCAGTGCAGAACAAGGCGATTTCAATGGAAAACTTGCGACTTTATCCCAATAAAAATTCTAACAAAGTAATTTAAGCTGAAAAAGTTGTATATCGAACACCAAACTGTAGCAATTTTAATGCACAATCTGATGAATTTTCAAAAGTTCTTGATTAAGCAAGATCGGCATTTAATATTTCCAACTTTCGTACTGTACCCCGCTTGCACAAGAGGCCAGGGCGATCGCCATATTAGAAAAGCTCTTTCTCTGAACGGACCGACACCGGCGTAATAAAAATTCATATAAATGTTACTATCCAATATTTTGAATGACATTATGGATCAAACGAAAGCTTAAGGTGTCCTCTACACGACTGCATCACTGTCAGTTGAAATAATCCAATTTCGGTGGAAATTTTGATCTGTGAAACGCACGAGGTAGTGAGACAAGCCAAATATTACAACCAGGACCCACCTCCGACATCCATTGGGAGACCATTTTCCGCATTGAGGGTCTAATGTCCGTCTGCACACAAGTAAAGTAGGATATGTGGGGTACATATCTATCCTCAGTGTCAAGCAAATTCTTCAACACTCTTTTGTCTTTGATTAAAACGGGGTCTTCGTAGGCCCTCGGATTCGAGTCGGCCTCACAACACATCAGATCCATGGTACGGAAAATCGCTTCGCTTCGAAGCAGCTCGTGTTAATTCAACGACTCTGCTTAGCCTGGGCTGATGGTAAAATCCAAGATAGAATGAATCAATAATAATTTCTTGATTGGTGAGGTAGATGTGTTTGGCCGGAGTGCTGTAGGTAGAAGTGCACAAGCCACCGGCCACCCCCAAATGACAGTCTCGCTTGTATTTATAACCACATTTCAATGGGTCTCTGGCATAGCCGACCGGCAGTCAGCGCATGCGCAGAACACCAACCTAAGGAGAATTCAACATCGACCCAACTTTTTTGCTTGATATATTTCTACATAACGTCAAATGCATCGGAATATCCAACTTTCGAGTATTTTGAGATGTAATACTAATTACCGAACTGGTCATTTTTGCAAAACAAAGCTTAATTATGCCTTAAAAGAACTTTCTTTCTCTCCTCATGAATATTCATGAGGCGTATTGAGGACACAGAACGCAGTGGAGCATTGCCGATATTCAGTAAACAAAGAGCTGCCGACGGGACGGAGAAGAGAAGTATAGGGACTGCCTTTGAGCTGGACTATACCATTCTCATGGATGTATCTTAGCTTTATTTCACTTTTCGATCGAGACAGGTTGGCCATTGTATTTTATATGAATTTTGTTCAGTATTTTTGGTTGCTGAAATTCCTTCTTTTGAGAATCCCCGTCCAACATTCCATCTCAAGGGGAAAGGCGACAAGGTGACCGCTCATCCGCCATCGTCTACACGTCATAAAGTCTGTTAAATTCCGTGCTAGGCAACTTATTTTTACGTATATAATTTTTTGGATTTTTTATCTTGTTTTTAGTTCACTTTTTTTGTGAAAAGTAACGTTTAGTTAGTGAAAACGAAGGGTAGTTTATTGTGTGGGGTCTATGCTAATTTATGGCTGCGCTGAGTCTGTAGTTGCCGAGCTGGGAATCTATATTTAGAACTGTCTGGTTTGTCCCGTTGCGAGCTAAGCCGCCGTTATGGGAGTATCGACCAATCAGATGCCTCTACGTTGACCTGTGACACGAATACTAGTGAATGAGTTTTCCCAGAGTGACTGAGTGCGATCGAAACTTGTCAATGAATGGAAAGATAAGCTCCGCCCCTTTCATCTGAAACCCCGCCCATCCGAATCGCGCTTGTCGAATGGTAACACGTCTGCTGCTTTGTCCGCGTGTAAACATAAGCGTATGAATGAAAGAATGGGAGTCTGACAGCGTTCCGATACAGGGAACAGATTGCGATGGACCTCCGCTTTCGTTGAGCTGGGGGGCCACCATTGTCATTGCTGATACACGGGCTTGGGTCGGGCACCTGGTCATGTCCACAACAGATTGCGGCTATTGCACGCTAGAGAATTTAAAAAACAACAACCAAAGACTAACTTTCATTTATCATATCAAAAACATTTAATTTTGCAGTTAAATATGCGATCTTCTGTTGCGGAAGTATCAGATTATATTCAAGATATGTTTTCACAAAGTCCTACTAAGATGCATACACGCATTCTTAGTGTTACATTACCCAAGAAAGTAAACTATAGGAATGTGATAATACTTGAAAGGTCTGGATTACGATACCTTATAGGAAAAACAAGAATTTTAACGAACGAATATTGTCACTTATGACACTACATAATAAAACACAAACTGTGGAACATTGTCATGATAGCAAGGGTAAATTAGTGACATGTTCGTTTGCCGGCTGCAATGACGTTGTGCAATAATGATCACGTGACCACGTGGAGCAATTTTAGAGGTGACAAAAATGCCCAGTGAGCACTCTATCTCTCCACGGACATGACCAGTACAAGCGCTTTTTATTTCCACTTTGCGAGGCTTTGGCTGATTCTGAAAATGTAGAAGTTTTTTCACAGCTTATCACAAATAATCCCCACTTCCCCCATGTGCCATGCGTTCATTTGATATTTCACGTTAACTACACTGATCCTATACTGAAACCATCACGATGCGGTGGGTTTGAGCGGCTAGAGGGAAGTAACCCGGTCTGCCTCATCGCGCAGGGTGTAAACCACAGTTACGGCCCGCAAAGCATTTTCTGTTGCTAAGTGACAAGGGGGCACACTCTCTTTACATTAAGTTAAATCTCAGAGATCAGGGTTTTGGTGTTCGAGCCAGGCTGCTCGCTCGCTGTACTGCAAATTCCCATTTTCCTTGTATTTTTCTTGTACTAGCACACAATATCTTAGTTGTGGTTATTTATGATTATTGACATTGCTGACAAAACAAAATATCAACTGTTCAAAATACTTAGTGGAGGGTTATGTCAGGAGCCACTATACTGCTGACTATGTCAACACTGTTGGTGCCACGAGTGAGTAATCTTACGCCGCCTTCAGCAATATTCCAGCAACATCACGGCGAGGGACACCAGTAAAGGGGCTTCACACTTAATACCCATATGGAGAATCGAACCACGGTCTTTGTCGTGACGAGCGGACGCATTAATCAATATTCTACCTTACCGCCCCTTCGCTCCACGAGGAGTTTCTTAGTCAGAATAGACAAGCAAACGTGATGTGACGTTAGAATAACAGTTTGAAAGGACTCATTCAAAAATGTATTGTTTTTACTAAAAACGGTATCGGGTGGTCAAGCTCGCTGACTTGGTTGACACATGTAATCGTATTCCAACTGCGTAGATCGATGCTCATGCTGTTGAGCACTGGCTTGTCTGGTCCAGACTCGATTATTTACAAACCTACGTCATATTGCTGACGGCGTTAAACAAAGAAAGAAACAAACATACCATTTGTCAGCAACGTGTCGTATCGCAGTGTGCGGCAGTGGTATACGAATAGCAAGTTCAGAACGGAACTCTAAGATCGCTCTATTGAACAAACTCCGTGCAGACCTTGAATGGCAATCATCCTAACAGGGACTGGTATAGTTACAGACCACAAACCGTGCATGTGGATGCAGATCTAAGACCGTCAATCACATAGTCAGTGCAAAAGGCTGCATATATATTTGTTACGATCACAATTATACATTCAGAAACTAAGCTTTAGTCTACCGGACAACATGCACACTTTCGACTTCGTCATTTCTACAATTTAAACACATAACAATGTACGTAACCACCTCGTTTCCATATATGCATTCTGGATTAAACAACCGCTTCCGTGGTGTAGTGGTTAGAGCGTCCGCCCGGAGAGCGGAAGGTCGCGGGTTCGATCCCCAACCGCGTCATACCAAAAGACGTTAAAATATGGTATTTGTTGGTCCCTGCCTGGCGCTCGGCATTAATGGGTACAACAAGGACTGGTCGGCTCGGAGTCAGTATACTGTGTCTGAGTGGGGTATTCATGCTTAACTGCGGCATGGTATCTCAGTGGGCTAGCACTAAAAACCAGCTTAAGTCTGGGCTAGTACAAGCAGCCGCACATACACACGCATGCACGTCGTCATATGAGCGAAATATTCTCATGCACGACGTTAAACCCAATTTCACCTTGATTAAACAGTCTTGCACCATACACGCCTGTATCGTACAGAACACGGAAGTAAGTGCATTGCTTCATAAAGATAACTACAGCAGGACTGATAACGCCTGCAGTACGTCACACGTTTCTAGAACAGTCTGGGAACATGCCCCCTACACATGCAACGCTTTCATCGATTTTAGCAACACATATTGAACATTCTGGATATTTTTAGATAAACTACATAGAAACTGGGCCACGTAATATTCGTCTATTTGTAACCCCTTGCAATCTGATGACGTAAGTTTAGTTTCAGTGTTTGACATGGTAATCGTCAGCTGTTTTATGATTATAATTCAAGCAATGCGTTTTGTTGCAGGAAATAGCAACATTAATGAAGTGCGTTAGAAACAGTGAATGGTTTTGACATTTTCATTGACTTGTAGCAAACGCAGAACTATGCTATGAGCGAGACCCAGAAAACAATTGTCAAGTGATATTCAACATTGAATGGGCGAATCTTGTTCTGTGGGTCAGCTATATTCATCCTGTAAATAGTCGAGTGAGTGAGTGAGTTTAGTTTTACGCCACTTTTAGAAATATTCCCGCAATATCACGGCGGGGGACACCAGAAATGGGCTTCACACATTGTACCATGCATGTGGAGAATCGAACCCGGGTCTTCGGCGTGACGAGCGAACGCTTTAACCACTAGGCTACCTGTCGAGTGAGGGATAGATATACCGGTGATCGACAGAATGAGCATCTACAGAATCTACCGAGGCACGTTGACTCGCCCACACAGCGTTCCTGACCACCCAATACAATTTCGTGGGATGGGACTATCGATCAGCAAAATTAACGCATATTCGATATCAATTCATATTGATTATAAATCTACAGTCGAATTGTTCTCTACGTTTTTCAGCAGGTGAACATATGCAACATATAGATATTATGTAAGAGCGTAAACAAAGGCCCTACTAAGCTGTAACCATTGAATCTTGAGTGTTCGGCAAGGCCAATCTAATCAGCATTTAAAGCATGAATTCTGATCCGATAGAATGTAAGTACAAACAAACCTATATATGCGTATCTTATAAAGTGCTCACATTGTTCGCAAAACGATTCACGACAAATGTCTCCAAGACTGATGATAGAATTATTTCAAGTATCTACCAATGTAAATAGTGATTTTGGAATGGTGATACGTTAATTCCAATCTATAACCTTGGCAAGTAGCCCTATCTTATCACAATCCAATCAGAGCCAATAATGAAAGTTCATATTGTAAACAAAACTATTACTTGATATATTATACATCCACAAGGCAATACCTCTTTTTATACACATCCATAGTGCGAAGGCAATACTGCTGTCGGTTTGAGCTGGCTTGAGGAATGTGACATGCCAGCCTTGTATACTGACATCACGGAAAGCTCGTGCAACACGTTCCGACAGGTCTTGCACGCCGGCTGATTGTACAGCGCTTATCGACAGCTCAGCCCTAAACGGTTGATAAGTTAGTCAGGAATTCTTGGGTCACAATCCCCAGATCGATATTAGAGTTCGATACCTTCTAAATCAATGTCACGTGACCTGCGTTTTCCCGAGCTGGTTTCCAGGTCAGGTTGTAGTGTACGTAGTGTAAGTAAAGTATGTTAGCTCGAGGTAGATCCCACAGGCTTCGATATTGTATGTCACCTCGTGCATGCACGGGCATGTTATGTCACGTGTCGTTCCGTATGCAAATA